ACTGTTGTTCTCCTTGCTCCTGGGACTGAAGCAGGCTCTGTGCTGAGGTGCTCCCCAGCTCCTCTTCCCCTGTACAATGCAACTGGCCACGGTGAAATTCTCACACATGGGATGAGTTTGCCAGGCTCAGCGTGCTCCGGCGGCAGGGTTCATCTCACTTATCATCAGGCACCTACAGGGCTCTTGAGAGGCTCACACCAGTTCAGGTTTCAGGGAACTGAAGCACAGCCAGGCTTGCGGCAGCCTCCGGCACGGGGTGAGCGTGGGCAGAGCCAGGGATCGCCTTCACCTTGCAGCAAACCCCTGCTCAAATAGCTCCAGCAACTGCCTTTGGTTTTCGTACAGTGCAAATCTTCCCTACTCCATCAGAGCCGTGCGCATGGCGACCACTAGGAATTTCACAGAAATGCGTTTTGTGGGAATTCCTCCCTTTTTGTGCTGTGGTCCGGGCAGGTGCAAAGAGGAACTTAAGCAGCTTTATCCAGCTCAGCCGCTGGCTCTAAGGATTGCAAAGGCAGCTCTGGCAAGGCTCTGCTCCTGCAGCAGAGGAGCCCGTGTCTCAGCAGTGAGGTGGCACCTTTCTCTTACGGAACAACATAGAGAGGAGTTTTGTGGCATTAATCCTCATGGGGTGGTAGAGAAGCAGAAAGGATGTCAGCAGTTGGGTTTTCCTTGATAAAGGAAGGGAGAGGGCTTGGGCAAGCTCCTTCGCTCTTGGGGTGGGTTTCAAGAAAGAACAGATTTCACCCCCCAAATCTTGGGGAGTTTTTCCTCCCCGACCCAGGATTTCATTACAGTGAAAGCACAGCGTATAATAAAACTGTGTCCTTAAAAAAATCAGTCTTGCAGACAGGCAGCCTTTGTCTGAAGGTGTAATTACAAGATAAATATGGGATGCAGACCAAGAAATGCGGTCTGGTCAGGCATGCAGTCTCTTAAAAAAACACAACAGAAAACAAGGCTGTCGTTTAATGCTGAAACGTCTATGTATGCTGCAGCCCCCGGTCCCTCGCTGGCCTGGGGTTCCCCTCACTGACCTGGGGTTCGGGTGGTGAAGCCATAGCCATGCACCAGCTCCCTGCAGGAACTGCAGTGAGCCCTGCAATGGAGTGAAGGGCAAGGGTGGATCTGGCCTCCAGCAGAAGCCAGTGGGGCTGGGTGAGGGCACATGACTGCTTGGGCGACGGGTTTCTCTCCAGCCCCAGTGCAGAAATCCCATCCGATAGTGCTGAGAGGGGACACGGGGGATTAGCTCGTTCGATCCCATTAAATGGAGCTGGAGCAAGTGAGAGGAAGGGGACGGGGGGTCAGGACAGCTTGCAGAGCAGACGCGACATCTGATGTTTGGGACAAACCTCATGCCAAGCTGGAAAAAGGCCTTTTAATGCACTTCTGTGGGCCAGCCTGGTGGCTTGGCTTCATGGCCCAGCAGACAGCCACTGTGCCAGCTTCTAATAGCAGTTTGCCACCTCGGCCATGCATTAAACAGCACGGTGTCTAAGGTGTTGCTTCAGAAACCCATCTGCCTCTACCACTCTCTTACTTGGTGGGCACCAGCATCTTCTGACTCGAGCAAGAACTGACCTCCATGGCAAGCCCAGCCACACCAGCATGGTCCCAGTGAGCCCTGAGCATCTCTGAGAGGGAGGCAGAGAAGAGGCACAGTGTATCTGTGGTCCAAAGTCAAACCTGGATTAGACTGGTGGAGGGAAGCATTAACCAGAGAGATCCCATGCAGAGGGGAGCAGTGCATACATCATTTACTAAAGCTCTCACTGGTGCTACATCATCTCCTGGCACCTGCAACAACCCCAAGGAGGAGAAGCTGGCTTCAGCTGGTGGCCCTGTCCCGCAGGACTTGTGTCCCCTCGCTACGCTGGGTTACTTGCAGAAAATGTCTCTCTGGTAACAATAAGCATCTCCCAGTGCGCTTGAATTTCCCTCGCATTTTTCCTGTGGCTGCTGAGGCTGGCCCAGCTGCAGGCACTGACCTGCACAGGTCAGGTTATAGAAGGGGCAGGAGCAGCCTTGGGCTGGGGAAGTAAGGGGTGAGTGGGAGGTTTTTTTTATTTGTTTGCTTGTTTTAAGGCAAACCTGATCTGTTCAGGAGCTGTTTTATTTCTGAAAAGAGGGTGGGGCTTTTTTTTGGCATTGGTGTGGATGGAGGAAGGGTGAGGCTGCACCTGTTTGGCCCCTGCCATAGGCTTCTGGCCTGGCCCATCTGAACGCAGGTACAGCCTTGCTCTAAGGCATTGCCTCGTGCTGGGGCTTTTCCAATGCATGCTTTTTCTCCCAAATCCATGCTATATTCCCAAATTCCTCCTATACAGAAGAACCGGGGCAAGTCCTGGCAGTGGCAGGGTGAGCGGGAGATGCCCTTCCTGAGGGGACAAACCTCCCCCCAGTTGGTGTAGGGTGAATTTGGCTGTTTTGGTCTCAAAAGGGGCTGCATGTCCCTCTTGGCTTCCCAATGCGTCTGGCACCATGCGGGAGTCACAGCTACGTGGGTTTAATGGGAGCAATTAGCCCCTGCAGAAATCTTCATGGGTTGGGGGCATGTTTTCTTTATGTCCTGTAACATTTTTGATGGGAAGTTGGAGGGTGTCCAGGAAGAAATGCTTGTGCTTAGCTGGAAATGAGAGGCTGGAGCCAGCCGGGGCTGAGGCTGTGCAAGCAGTGGAAGTGAGAACAGGCAGTTGTTGCCATCCCCTCTGCACTCAGCTCAGCCCAGCTCCCCCTGCCCTCGCCGCTTGCTTTGTATTTCCCTTTATTTGTCTGTCCTTCCCCTCTAGCCCTTGCTTTGTCTGAGCCCCCAGGCTCCTCCACGCACAGTGCAATGGGAAGGGGCAGGGAACACCGGGCGCCCTTCTGACATCCTCTTCCCGGCTCTGGCAGCTGAGCAGCTATTTAACCCTCGTGCTGTTTTGCAAAGCAACAATTAATCTAAACTGTATTTGCTTTGCAAAAGCCAATCTAACGGGTACTTTTGCAGAAGCACAGGAGAGGCGTTTGTCTGGGTCCGGCCACGTTCCCCCTTGTGCTGGCCAAGCTCCGCGGGCTTTTCCCAGTGCGCAGCTGCGAGGTATCCAGCCGACCTCGGCGACCCCGCCGCTTTCCCAGCGGGAAGCCTCCAAACAAAACCCGATTCACTCAGCAAACCCAGGGACGCTTGCGATGGATGCCGAGAGCTGTGTGCAAGACAGGGAGGGGGTTGAAGCCTCTCCATCGCCTGCAAGCGATGAGGGTATCGCCCACGCTGCTCAATGCAGAGAAAACCTCACTTTTGCACCCTCTCCCTAGCCGGCTGGTGTCGAGCACCCTGAATT